ACTTGCAAGTTTGTGTATGTTTTACAATTTCCAAAATGCTTCCATTTTCTGTGTAAAGTCACAGAGTCAGGTAATAGTGAGCCAGGATTAGATTTGGGGTTCTGCCTCATCTTTAAGTTTCTTGCCCCATCCCATGCCTTTCCCTTCCTGAGCAAAGTGCAAGATCAGAAAAAATGAAACTGCATTTTCTTTATCACCCATGGAGGCTCAACATTTTACCCGCACAGCCGCCTGCATGTCTCTGACCTCCTCCACTAACACCGTATCACCATGCCAACTGTCTGCAGAGACTTTGGGTTTCTGGGTGTCAGCAAACCTCTGTGTCACGGAACCCCCACATTCTGTGGTGTCAAGAGCACCATGTGTGGGTAGAGAAAGCGAAAATGTGGACAACTTCCAATCTTCCCCGAGCCAGTTCAGATACAGGCTATTAATTCTCTGAGTTCAATTCTAGAAGCCACAGTTTTAAGGCTTTGAAAATGATCTGCACTTAATTCAATTTAAACCTGATGTCTTTTCCTTCTTACGGTGAGAGACATAAAATCACTCCCTCTGTTATGAAGGATGCAACGTACATGGCACGTGTGGTCAAATGCCCAAACACAGTCAGGATGATGTCATTTCTGCCTTCAACTTAACCATGCCCTAGCCCAAGGGGAACGACTCCCTGACTCATTAAAAAAGTCGGAGCTTTCTACCTGCGTAAGATATGTCTGGTGATAGGATTTCATTTTTACCATGACGTTTCTGCAGCATTTGGGCTTTTGCTAAGTTAAGCTTCTTAATGATGTATGTGGTTGGTATAAACAAACGCCAACCTTAACCACCAGCACTGTCAAATTCCTCACATGCTTCAGCACATTTAAGGGAACTAAGTTGTTGCAAGGTAATTATGTTGTACGGATTAACGTGTAATCCTGAAGAACTAGAATATCCCCGGCAAGCATGAACTCTGTTTTGTGGGGGAGAGAAGTCAGACGGGTCAGGGAGAAATTCCAAAGCATAGGTTTTGCCTACAGCCTTCGTGTTTTGGTAACTCAGAGTATCTAACACTCCTGAATTCTTCAGCTACAGCTGGAACACTCTGGGAAGCCCATTCTATCCCTAGGCCTGGAGCTACACCAAAAGTGCTTTTCTGGCAGAAGAGAGGAGCTGGGCATCCCTACGAAATTTCATCTAGAGTTTAAATTGGCAACTGTTTCTACAGTTATCACTATTTTTTTTTTCTGGGAAAGAGAAAGGTTTTTTTTCTATTTGTCTTTGTTTCACATTGGCAAAAAAAATGCTCTACAAATATTCTGACCATATATAAGGTTAGCAAACCAAAGTTTAAAAAGTTATAATTATTGCTCTGATTAAAATGCTTTCTGTTTTACCTCTATGTAACAACTCTATAAAGGACTGGAAAAATAAAATACACTCCCTACACTTAAAGGCAGGATTAATGCAAAGAAGAAAACTTCATAAGCTGACAGTGGTGGTTAGTTCAATGTATCAGCTTGACTGGGTCATGGAGTGCCCAGATATTTGGTCAAACATTACTTTGTTTGTTTGTGAGGGTGGTTTTTAGATGATATTAACATTCAACATTAACATTTAAATGGTAGACTAAGTAAAGCAGATTATTCTCCCTAGTGTGGGTAGGCCTCAACCAATCAGCTGAAGACCCGAATAGAACAAAACTGCTGGTTTCTTCCTGAATAAGAGCGATTTATCCTACCTACCTGCTTTTGAGCTAGAACAATGGGTCTTGTCCTGCCTTCAGACTCAAACTGAAACATGACTTCTTCCTCTAAAGTTTTTCAACCAACTCCCCCAAAATTAGTCTACTCGACAGCCCATTTAACACCCCTGCTTTCAGGTGATCTTCAGATGCCTCCAATTTCTGAGCCTGTCTGGGGTTCTGCAGGACAAATTAGCTTGTTGCGAACTGGTTAGCTTTCAACGTTTCCTATCTAAGTCAGTAACAACTCACCCTTTCGCTGTTCAGTTTCCAAAATCACTTTGAATCACTTGCTGTCATCTCCCCTCTTCTTATGTTTGTCTTTGGGTTTTATGGTTTGTTTGTTTGTTTGTTTGTTTTCAGGGATAAACACATGTATTACTCTACTGGATTTAAGGAGAATTTCCAGAGGTATAATCATCATATGCAAAAGACTGCCTATGGGCTACTAATGCATGTATGGTTTCTTCAGGGGGTGCTGAAATATTCTAAAATTGATTGTGTTTATGGTTGTACAGTTCTGGGAACTTACTAAACACCACTGAATTCTACACTTTAAAGAGGTGAACTGTATGATATTTAAATTATATATCAATAAAGCTATTATATTTTTTTTTAAAAACTGCCCATGGAGCTGAAATCCTTAACAATACCAAGGAGTAAAGTTCTATATACCAAGGTCAAACATGGATCAGAGATGAGTGGCCAGCCTAACGAATCAGCAAAAAAAGAATTATAATTCAACATCTCTTCTCTTCTACAATCCATCACAACTCCCTAGAAAAGCATGACTAAACATTTCTATAGACTTTTGTGATTGTAGTGCAAGATAAATATTTCAGTTTGAAAATGTGAACTCACAAACAATGAATGAATTCAGGTGAGGCAATTTTGTACAATCCATTGATTCAAAAATATAAAATTTAAGGTGTTGGAGTAGGTTCATTTTAGCTGTTTCTGTATCAAACAGCTGTCAAAATAGAATTTTGTGGTGAACACTTTTTCAAACAGACTTTATTGAATGAGATTTTCAGATCTTTCTGTATATGTCGTATATGCTGTTAGGTTTGGGGGGAAAGCATCTTGTTACTTGAGGACATGTCAAAACCAGAAAGCATATTCAGCTCACAGTTCTCCATCAATTAAATTGCTGCCAGGAAGTAACAGAGCGTCCAGGAAAATTTCAATCAGGTACCAGAAATCTACAGGGATAGCTTTGTGTTTCAGTAACCACTCTGTGGACACAATGAGGGGAAATGACCCACCAGAAGAATAACATCTGGAGTTGTCCAAATGCATTACTCCAGACCTGGTCAGTTAAGTGTCATGAGAATGATACCATCATTTAAATATATGTTTCCACGGAAATGCCAAATGGGGTTGGACACAGGATTATACTGTGTGGCATGGAACATTTGCTCTCCTAACATTGTGGAAAGTGATATTTATTTTTTAGTTTGTGTTTTTATGACTAGCTGATAACTATGTTCTTACTTCGTGGGTCAAAACCTCACTCCCCAAGAAACAAAACAAAAACCCCCAAACCCAGCTCTGAACAGACCAGTTGCTCCTGAGTCTAGCGGAAAGCAAGCTGAGGGAGACTCACATGACCTGGCTTCCAGCTGATGGCACATTTGCGACATCATGTGAACTTCGTGTGGTCACAAGACCTCTGCCCTTTAGTTTCCTCACTTATTAAATGGGTATAATTATGCCAGCCTGACTCACAGAATGAAGTCGAGGAACTATAGGATCATGCATGTGAATGTCATCTATTAATTACAAAGCACTGGAAATGTGAATTATCATTTTAAGTGGACAGAAATATATAAGAGGGGAAAAAAAAGAAGAAATAAGAAGTGGAACCTGCTCAACAAAGGAAATTCTCACCTCCAATTCTAATAGCTTTAAGATAAAAGAGATCCTTGGATAGCGTCCACTAGGGAAACTCTCTTGATGGCTGGTGTCCATACTAATTACCTGTCGACAGTGACTCTCCCACTCTGTTTCCGATGCACTGAAATCGTTTCCTGAATGCAGGTTGCTTCACAGTCCTACAAAAAAAAGCACCCATTGATATCTGGAGATAATTCAACCATGGCCACAGCAAGCAAGTCAGCTTATAGAAAACACTACAGAAAGTAATTTTATTTGCCCAGTTCCGAATTGCCTGACTCTACCTACAGAGCACCCTCAGGGGCGTGTGAGGAACTGAGGTGATTTTCGTTTGTGGACAGGTTAGGTTCCTGAGTCACGTGAGAGAAGATTGCTTGAGGGAACAACTGACGTGGTGGGCAAGGTATCAGGTGAGGGCTTACACAGGCCCAGGAGACATGGCTATGCAGTTTCGAATCAGGCACTAGAGAACCAAACTCAAATTTTACAGAAACACAGAAAAGACTTGCTTTATCAAATACAGTCATAGTCACGTAAGAATTACATTTAATGCTCTTTGGCTTTTGATAACTAAAATGTGATGCCTTCCACAATGGTGGAATTATTTCACTGAGGAAACTAGCCCCTTGGGAACATTCTTTAGGAAATGAAAGAAATAATGGCATTGTTATATTCTGTGTTGGCCGCTGGAGTCATGTGTGAGTTAGTCCCACTCCAGATGGTTAGAACCTCAGGGGGGAGCCCCTGTGGCCCCCTGATTTAAAGGACCCATGCCCTCCTGGGAGAGCCCAGAAGCTGAAGCCATAGCTCACCTTGGGATGGGGGAAGGAGATCAGGAGGTGACAAAATCAATGTAGTAAAATATTAATAACAAGTAGAACTGTCTGCACACAAACTCTAGCTCTCCCTCTGTCTTATAAAAACTCAGCCTCCCATCACTTTCTCCCTGCTGCCTTCCCCCACTATTGCTACCTTTGATTTGAACAAGCAATCTTTGCCAGGATAAAAATGTCAGAAACGGACAAGGAATCTCCCACACAGTGCTATTAAGCGGGGGTGGGTGGGGGGTAGGGGTGGGGGCGTGGGGGTGGTGGTAGTTCCTTTGACCCTCTTAGGAAGACCTACTGTAGTAAAGAAAAAAACTGCATGAATTCCAGCCCTACCTTCCTCATTTTCACTTATCCAGATGATTGTGCACAGGTCACTTTCCTCACCCATAAACAGGAGTCTGCAAGTAATAATATCCATCTTAGAGGACTGTGAGTGTGTACACATTAAATATATCACAACATATAAGGCAGGTATTCAGTATGTCTTAAGAGTTATTGTTCTTGAACTTAATAATGGGCTTTGTATTGGGGGATTATTTTTCAGGAAAAAAATCAAACAGGGTGTTAGAGAAGTGTTATGGTTCCAAACATGAAAAAAACTGTTTTATTAAAAGAGGGGGGGAAATCAACTTAGCTTTGTCAAGAGAGCTCTGTATCGCAAGCAATCAGCTTCTTGTTCATTGTCAAGTTCAGTGAAAGTACACAAAGTCCTAGAGACCTGATAATAATTAAGAATATTCACAGGCTTCTTCCTAAGGCTCCTTTTAATCATTGACTCAATATTTGCGTGGTCTTTCCATTGGCCGCTTTTGTTGTTTTATACAATCTCTTGGTCTCAATCTGGAATAAGTGGAGGAAACTTCTAAATTAGAACATTTGCTACAACAGTTGTCCTTTTATGTTCTGATTTTAATAAAGAGATGCTATTATTCTGGAGAAACCTTTCATAAACTGAATATTGTTTCAAAATCTGCTTATTTACATTTCTCATGGAACTTTCTATGGCATGCTGTGTTCAGTAGGAAACATCTGTCTTTGGGGTTTTCATCACTGAGAGGTGGTTTACTACAAGGGCATGGCACGCCTGGGTGCACACAGATAACTCCCCAGCAGGGACTGGCCCATGCACACGTGTCCAGTGACATCCACGGCCATATCCTCTGGGGAACACTTGTGTCACGAGCAGAGAACATACAGAGGTGTAGTCCAAGCGGAAATGCCCCCAGAGGTTCCAGGGAAGTGTCTGTAATAAGAGACTAGCCTGTTGCTAGGACAGAGCCTTTGGTACTTCATCAATGTTATCACACGGGGGCTCTTGTTAAAGTGAACTCAGGTCCTTTGAGGGATGTGCACTTTGGGAAATTCCAATTAATTAGTGTTAACTTCCCACTGACATCTCTTCTCCAAGGAAGTCCCATGTGAGAAGTAAAGTGAGGGTCTCTTCCATTTTGTTTGTGTCGATCTGGCCTTCCCACAATGGACTAACAAGTGAAATCCTCTATTTTTTAAGACCTATAGTATCTCACAGAAGCCAAGGATTTTAGGGGGAAAAAATCCATAAAACTACAAAGCTCCTAAAGCTCGAAGGCAAACCTCCCCGAATATAGACCGATACTCATTCGATATTTTGTACATCCATCTATGTTGTTAGCTTTTCATTGAATGGATTGATTAAAAGTTCCCAGTGTTACTGCCCAACTCCCTGGAGCCGCACTTGATGAGAAAATAAAGTGACCCTCTCTACTTTTAGAAGGTGCTGCTAGCTGTGGAGAGCGGCGGCTGGCCCTACCTGGTCATGAGGTCACAAGGGTGCCTCTCTCTCCAGCCCCACATTCAGTGCCTGCACACTGGGAGCTTGAAATCAGCTATGGTGAAAGTATTTATGCCACGGAAATAGGCATATGCTGCAAATTAGGGCTTGATCTTCCTCTAGACAACTGGATGTTGAGCATTTACAGACACAGCCTGGCTCTAGGCCTCCTTTTTAAAGCTGATGCCATGGGAAGTATGTTGACCTCGATGTGGCTATCTGGAGAGCTGCCACAAAGTGATAGGCAAAGAACCGAGGGCACTTAGCTTCCGGGAATCGCCACCTTCGTGTTGGAATATCAAAGCTGCCTGCTGAAGGAAACCCACCACAGTAAGGGGTGGCTTCTTTCTTTCCCTTCTACATACGTGTATATATGGGATATTTTTTTTCAACCTAAGACTTGTCTCTTTCAGTTTTTCCTATTTGACTTTATGTCTTGAATTTAACTAATTTTTCAAGATACTTTGACTATTTTATTTGGATCATGATTCTATTAGGGATTCTATTAGGGAATCAAGTTGTTGTTCAACCTGAGTAAAAGCACTTGTAACTATAAAACCCAATAGAAACACAAAATACGAGTGGCATTTTCATGGGAATCTGACAAACAATACCGTCAATATTCACATCTGGATCGTTGATACGGTGTTGAAAAGGGCAAGAGGATTTGCCAGGTGCAAAGACGTGGAGGCGGATGGCTTAAGAGGAGACCCAAGGAAGCCAGAGAGCAAAGGAGCAGGCAGAGAGAGGGGGGAGGACAGGAGCAGCACGAAGAGGGTCTATAAGCTACGTATCACTGCGGACGCAGGCCCGCTGGGCACTGAGTAACCCTGTGACAGGTACAGAATCATCCGTCTACAGCAGTACATCCCGAGCATTTATCCGCTGACTCCCTTCCTCTCGTGGTGGAAGGTCGCCCCTGGAGATGACAACTCCCCAGCATTTCCAGGCTGTGGGGCAACTTTGCAAACAACTTCTGAGGAAGCCCTCTGCAGCAAAGTTGTGGGAGGTGAACCAGCAGCGAGGCGCACAGGAATCAGGCCACGCCAACCACCTGCAGGCAGAGGCGGACCAAGCGGTGTGGCACAGGGCACGCGCGGCACCTGCTACGGACGGGATTGAGGGACACACTTTGAGAATTGTTCATTGATTCGATAAATCTTTACTCAATTATTTATTAACTGATTAGATCATCAGATACTGACAAGGCACCTACTATTTCCAGGCACTGTTTTAAGGGCTGAGGATGCAGCAGTAAATAAAACAAAGTCCTTGCCCTCAATAAGCTTATAATGTAGTGGAGGAAGACAGATGATTTTTAGAAGTGAGAGTATAATGTCAGTCAGTGATTTGTGCTAAAAAAAATTTTTTTATTTGAATAAAAAAGGCAAAGGACTGGGAGGTGATGGGCCCAGGGTAGGGGCAGGGAGTGTTATTTAGGAACGGTGGTCAGGGAGTTGCTCTCGGATGAGGGACAGTCTGAGCAAATCTTGCATGAAGTGAGAGCGGCATGCAGGCATCCTGGGGACTGGTTTTCCAGGCAGAGGGAACGGTCGGCACAAAGGTCTGCAATCAGGAACTACCCTGGTGTTTAAAGGACCACAGACAGGTGCTGCATTGGGCAAGGAATCCAGTGCCAAATGAGCGAGAGAGACGCTCCTGCTGTGTCCAGCTAAGAGTCTCGGAAGGGACTACCATTAACTTAAAAATTACCAATCACACAAATGAACACAAATGTATACATTGTGGTAAACACGTAATTGGATTTGTGTTTTCAAATGATTAGCTTGTCTACTGTAAGAAAGACTGAAGGCGGTCAGAGTTTAGGGTCCATCTACCATTTGACACTGTTCATTGCATTATGCTTTACTTCTCACCATCGATAATCTGAACACAGCTCTGGGAGCTTAGTGTGCTTCATGACCATCCGCTCCATAGTTTACTTTTTAGAAACATCTTAGTTTGTAGAAATTGGAAACACCTGTATCCTCCATCCCTGCATGGAAAAGCTAGAGGGAACCTAACCTGAAACTCATAGATAGAACTGATTTCCAGTGTCATGCCAAAGGCTAACTGAAGATTCAAGAGCCAGCGTGGTTTGGTGGAAAGAACATAGACCTGGATTCAAACTTACCTAGGTTCCAATTCCAGTCCTAATGATTACTTACTATGTAGCTATAAGTTATTATATCCTCTAAGCCTCATACATAAAAGGAGAATAATAACGCCTACTCTGGAGCAATATGGAGATTAAATCAGATCACCCATACAAAGCATTTGATTCATAACAGAGCCTGGAAAATGGATTACTATTAGCATATCGATCATATGATGGAAACACTGTGATTTGCATGTTTTTGTCTAGACTACAAAAAGTATTAAAACAGCACACACAGAATTGAAGCTAAGTAAACAAACTGAAAGGAGCTTGTCAATAGATCTGATAAACCAGTTTAGGCCAATTAGCCCAAGACACGGTAGTTAGTATTTGCCAGTGACTGTTGTGGTAATGAGAAGGGGATCCAGTAGAAAGTAAAAGTCAACAGTGTATGGATGACTTCCTGGAAAAGTGTCTTTCCAGATCTCGTTTAAAGAGAGGTCAGACGGACAATGAAACACAGATGCTGAAGCCTCAAGCCTAGGAATGAGATTCTGCGAGGTCCAATCCCCAAATGAGAAACACACTTTGATGATCCAGCAAGAACTTCTCGTTAGTGCAGGAACACATGCCTGCCATCTGTCAGGGAGGATATAATCGTATCACTGACTCCCACACAGCAAGCCGAGCCATAATCATGCTTTACTAGGCTGCAGAGATCACAGGAGCAAGCATGCCCTGTTAGCCCCAGGACAGGCACCATCCTGCAAGGTAAGTAATTCGCAGCTGTGTCTTGGTCTATTTGAGGATGGTCAGTTTGAGACAGCGACACAGGGACCTCTCCCAACCCCGAGGAAGTGAACCCCAGGCAGCAGCTTCCACACTAATGAAGGGAAGCTGGGTGCTGTGTGCAACTACTTCACTGTCTCTTGGGCACCAAACTTAATCACATTTAGACTCACTTACCGTAACAGCAGTGCATATATGTAGTATATCATACTATGTGGCTTTCAAAGCATTCTGATATACATTATTTCATTATAATCCTGATAGCAACCCCGTGAAGATGGTTATTATTGTCCTTGCTTTAGAGTTGGAGTCACTGATCTACAGAAAAACATTAATTGATTCAACCCAGGACCCATACGAACTAGACCTGGAGTCAGGGATTTGAACCTGGGGCACCTGACACCAAGCTTTATCTTTGTGGCTGCACACTATATAGAGTTTTAGATCCCTGATTTCCCAGCGCAGTCCCACAGTGGCATTACAGCCGACTGGGGGCAGTGGAACAGCATGCATTTTTACTGATGGCCCTGGCTGAGGCCACATCAGAGAGCAGGTAGCCCAGAGAATCAATCCAAACAAGCCCAGTGGTCATCAATCCAGAAGTCTAGTGGCCAGATCTAAGAAGTGTGTTCTGAAAGTGAGATCTCAGCCAGACCAGTAATTTCTCAAAAGCCAAGATGATCCTGGGCAAATGAACTCAATGAAAGAGCAGGCTGCTTCTTCTCCCTCAGTAAAGCTAGGTGTGGGTTGAACAGTATAATTTGAAAATCTCTTTGAACCTATTAATAGAATCGAAGCAAATCATCCAAACTTTGCCTGAAGGTCTGGTCTCCAACTTGGGTTATGCGTTCTTCCAAGTAAAGTCTTTAAGTATGGAATCTTGACCAAACAATTTGGATGAAGGCTTTTGCTCCTATTTTGTAAACTCTAATATTCCTGTGACCTGTTTTACTAGTTAATGGAAATGTGTGATATGGAAACTCTGTCATTACAATTTGAGAGAAATGTGAAGTACTTCCTTTGGTAGCCACAGTTTCTCTGCCATGAACCTTAATAAACATGTAAGCTCCAGGAGGGCAGGGGTCCTTGTCTGTCTGGATCACTAATATAGTCTCACTGCTGGCAGATATTGGAAGCTCAAAA